GGAAGCTAGAGTGTACAGACAGCCGCTCCATAAAATGCTAAAACGCTTGAGGAAAATTTATTGTACACCTAGCCAAGGTATTCCGTAAAAGCTCTAGTGAGAGTTATACAGGAGTATATATAAAGCTCTGACCACAAGTCAGGATTCAGTTCTACACATACACCCATCCGCATATCCATTTGGTTTTAGTGGGAGACCGACCTAGAAGCGGGTTGAATACCTCTTTTATGATGTTTTAACCAGCTCAATATGTTGCACCCTTTTATGATTTTTAACCAGCTCAATATGTTGCACCAGGCAGCTCATATACAGTTAGTGCAACAGTTTAAGGATAGCAATGTATAATATAGACGTATTATACAACTCGTAGGGTTGTTGAAAATCGGTTCCACCCTTCTTTGTGTTCGTCAGATAGGCTAGTCACCAAATTAGGGTCAAACTTATGTACGCCCAAATGCACTTTGAGTTATTTTTGAATAACAGCTAGAAGAAAAACTAATCCTTTGCACTATAGTGTGCAGAGTTTGGCACTGTTATATAACTCGTCAAATTAATAAACACGGGAAAGTCCCAAAGTATAAGGGCGTGTATTTGAAATTCTATTTGTTGGACACGGATTTTTTCGGGCATGAAATCTAGTAATTCTCTCTCTGTGGTCATGAAACCCAGGGATCATTACTTACTGTATTGTTCCTTTTGGCGGTGATTGAATCCCATAAAAAAGCTGACGCTTTGTTTCGTCGTATGTTGCATTAAAACCCATCATCACATGACGCTTGATTTCTGTTAAAACGGAAGCAAGAAATTAGTTTAAATAGGGTCAACCAATAGAAATCGCAGCTGCGACAGTTAGTAACGAACGTCACGGTCTGCTTCCCAAGTGCGGCCACTAATACACGATTGTTTATATTAGATCATATTCTATTGAATTCGAGATAAGACAGTATTCCATTTTAGGGGGTGCAAACAGAAACCATTACGTGCGATGCAAATATTGTAGTATTTGTATGTGGCGTTTGAGCACCAAAATGTGCTGCTTGGCGATGGTTGTCGATAGCGATGTCTACTGAAGTTAATGCACCACAAAACAGACGCATTTTGGCTACTCCCTTAACAATCCCATTTTGTTGCAAGACATTCAAACTCGGGGATTCTAGTTTGTCCGACCAACACTGATAATGAGTGAAACTGCTGCTTCTTATCATGAACTTTTGATGGCCTCGACAACCGACATTTGGTTAACCTTTAATAGACGTTTTAGTCTCATTATTGTGAATAAGTCGTAATTTGGGTTCGGAATAATCGTACAGCCATAAAGTTCTCTGGTCCAACGCAGACGACGAGCAAATCCATTTTGAAAGCTTAAGTGCGAGGTGATTTCCGGCATGGACTGCTACACTTATAGATAGAAATTTCTGACAAAATACCAGAACTTTTTCACACTATAAACTGGTGACTCCAATACGTCATAAACCGCATTGCACGTGAACGGGGGATCTGGATCTAAATACAGACGACAAACGCGCTCTAAGCGTAGAAACAACATGGGGCTACATGCGCGCCNACCAGCGAATTGCTTATATGCTGGGACCTTCCCAGATGTGCTGATCTTCAAAGTTGCCGGTCAATGCCGTCAAAGGTCCTTAAAGGAAGTTTACATTAATGCATGTGATACTGTGTCCAGATGTATACCGAGTCAGTTAGTGAAAACGGTCTGTCGCTGTTGGAAGGGGTGCATAACAACCTGCCATATTGGAGCCGAGTATGTAGGTATCACAGACCTATAAATATTGTTGAAACTCAGTTTAGACATTCGAATGGATATTTATGACTTTTTTCACTCGTTCAAATTCAAATCCATAACGTCAGACGTTCCAAATGGTGATTATGACATAAGAACTAGCGTAGGTTGACTGAAGAAAAGCCCTAAGCTCAGCAGTTTGAAAAAGTCCCTCCCCAACTCAGGGTTGATCAGCACACACAAATAATAGTGCCTCCATTTTTCAGTTGTACTCCTCTATGTCTTAGGACCAGGCGGCTAGACTTAATGAAACTATCTAATCAGCCGGCCCGATCATCATTCCGGAGACTGATCTGGTAGTACAATCAATCTGTACGCTTTGCACTACTGAACAGAATAACGCCCACGACCACTCTTTTCGGCTCAATGCGGTGATCTTTCAACCAATATGGTTGCACATTCGTTAGTGTTACGGCAGATATCTCCAAGTTGAATATCCAGCAGTAAATGACTGGCTTTGTGGCCTTACACGCTCCCCTCGTGTGATCTCCGTGTTTTGTTCTGAGCAGCACTCCTAATCTATTGTCGAGTACCCTTCAGCCATTATGCAATAATGTGTTCTTGGTTTTTGGCCTGTTTCTCCTTAAGTGTCACATGTATATTGCCGGCTCGGTGGAACCATTATAGAGATGCTAAAATACAAACAATTACCGCATTCGAGCTATCAGTATTTCGGTCTACGAACCGCATTACAGTGGTTTGACTTTCATTTGAGCATCGTGACTGGCCTTTCCGTTCTTGCAAATACTATTACTAATACTAGAATATTTTTTTCGGCTTCTGAGGTTTTAATTTCTGTGACTGAATTTTGAGTAATACTGGTCAACCAGACTTTGGAGGATGAAGTAAAAACCAATTTAAAAATAGCTAAAGTACATCGGTCGCAGTGTTCTAATCGATTTTTTTTGGAAATTTGTGCGCGATTTCCATCCTCAGCCATTTACGGTATCATGTGCTTTATGTAACCTATGGTTAACTAAAAAGTTGATTAAAACGTTGGTGAATTCTGTGTCCAAATTATGGTGCAAGGTGCTTCGCAGGCTGCTATTTTGATCTAAGCTCAGTCGCTACATACACGATATTTCTTAGGTGGCTGAATGCGTGTAGCGGTCTGGTCACAAGTGTTCCGAAAGCAATGACCACTTGATGCTACGGTGTTACTATTTCAATAAAAAAGAGCAATCGTATGCATAGAAATTCACTAAATTTTCGGAGGTAACCAGGTAAGGGCGTGTCTTGTTTAGATGGACCAGATCTAAGACAACTTGAAGAAGCCTTTGCTAGTGTACATGACTAATTGTTGTTCACACTCTCAAGAGTTTTATGGTTCAGTTCAGGACGATACAGAGTGACAACTATTGGAATTGTTGGTGCTGCGCATTATTGACAATTGTGAATCTGAAACCGAAAGTGGCATATCAGAAACTACTGCGATGAAGACATTAAGATCGAATTTGAAGTAAGCACCTACTAAAGATTGTTCTTCTTCAAAGAACCAGTCCTGTTGAACACTTTTGCTCAAGTGAACAATTTGTGCTAAAAGTGACGATTTGTTGACGATACGGAAATGTTGAGCTTATTGTCGCACGGACTTCCATATGTTCAAACCCTTACGACCTCTACAATAATTCCATCTACGCTACTGCCTGTGAAGCAGGACTCCTTGCATACCGTGTCATAGTTGATTTGAGAGAACAGAAGAAACACGCCTAATTCGCTCCCAACCATTTTCCCCCTCCAGCTCTGTACGTTTAGCTCCATCCTATGTTTCGCTTGTTGCTTTCTTCTCTTGCTCCATTTCCGTCCTTCTCTTCTTTCTCATGTATGCTCATATGCCGGTGGATAATCAGGGAAACGACGAGAACGCAAGATGAGAGCACACTAAACTGTAGATCTCTGTGCCTTTGTCTGACAGCTTCTCGTCCATCGTACTTGTTTGGTTTCTTTAATTTGAATTTAAGTCAATAAATTATTTTCCTCTTCTTAATTACATTAGGACTGCAATGGAAATCTGAATATGGGAGAAACTTTTGACCGCACTTCAGGTACACACGTTTGCTGCCACTTGTTTCGCATGTGATTAATTCCTCTTGAGGAGTTTGGGTGGAATTTAATTCTGCTAGAAAAGTAAGATAAAGTCCAGCTTATCTTCGATCTCTAGACCTCTTCTTGACCTTTCAGCTTCGTTAATCTTAACAAATTACGGTTCCTCTTCCTGGATCTCAGTTTTGGGGACCCCTAAACAGATAATTCTGAGTGAGTGTAATGCTTGGCAAATTGTCTCTTAGAGGAGATTACTGTGCATATTTGTGATTTTTGTGCGTTTTGTTTTAGAGGCAGAAATGCGTTTCATGAATGACCGAAAAAAGAACAGTTGTTTTGACTGGAAGCGTTTCTATTACGTAACAGTCCCTAGCACAAACCTTCTAACCATCCACCGTCATCTTTTTCAGTCTTGTTTAATCCTCGGAATTCACCTTTTTTGAACTTCTCACGACCAGGAAACTGCAAGCTGCCCAGCTACATTGTTGGACAAGATTTCCAATTTTCATTGAAGCAAGCTCTCCACCAAAAGATCATCTATCACTTATCGAATCAGTCATCTAGGCTACACGGGTAGATCCACACACCTGCTAATGTTGGGAAGCCGATCCTGCGTTTCAGTCATCAACTAGTGTCTAGCTCCAGCCGTTCCTATCAGCTACTCGAAGAGACTTTTGATTGGGCTAGAAAAATAACTATACAGTGGTCGTGTATGTTGTGTGAACTTTTGAATTTACACTCAGCTTGGTTACTTATGCTCACGTGTGTTAAATGACGAGGGTCTGTTAAACATCCCTGCATTTGGTGTGCTCCACTAAAATGATGGAAACACAGTGAAATAGAAAAAATGTCCAGCAGTTAAATCAGGGGGTGAATGATTGATCTCCTTTGAACCTACCATAAATGAATAAACATCCTTTAGACGTCTCCAGATTCGAATGATATTTCAAACAGGAAACTACGCACAAGGTTGCTGAAAACTCTTCGACAGCCCACGACCGAATTTGCCCTTCTCGGGGCTCATCAGGTAGGCGCAGTCCCCGAGTTTCCGTCAAACTTATGATATACTTGAACACAAATTGCACTGTTTTCGAGAAATACACTCATCTGCGGGACACGGGACACAATTGAATCTCTCGTTTATGATGTCCTCCAAATGAATGTGCTGCACACAGGCTGCCTCATGATTCAGTTGGCACAATATTCGAGATATTGCAGTATGTTTTCATAAAGGAAACTAATCACGAACATCATGCCAACTGAATCATGAGGTGGCCTGTGTGCTGCAAATTCAGTTGGAAGACATCATAAACGAGAGATTCAATTGAGTGTCGCGTGAAAACCAAATTGATTTACAAATTAGTGTATTTCTGGACATTTCAAACAGTTATGTCCTTGTAGGTCTTAGATGAATCAGGAGGAAAATTCGAATTTCTCTCACCCAATCATAAATATCTACAGGCTATTAGCTTGAAAATGTGTGGAATATCGTGTTCTGTATGAACCCTTTAGAATGACTAGTGTTTCAAAAAACCTGGCTCATCAGAGTAGACCTAGAGTCTATGAACATTTTATCATAGTTTTCATAAAGGAAACTACTCTCAAGACAGATTACTTGACAACAAAATGTCTGACAGACTATTTGATTTCATTTGTTCTGTTCCTCGTTTAATGACCTGTACTATTTCCGAAGTAAATTGGAAATCGCCTGGAGTACTATGATGAAAGTTTGGTCCCAAGTGGAGAGTGAAGGACCTAAACTTCATCCCGTTCAGGTTTTGGAACAGTGCTTTTGTTTCCGCTGCCAACAATGAGTTGTTTTCCCTTTTGTAGGTATGAGTGGCAACTCTTGTGTCATTTGGGCTGAATCATCGCAAAAATTTAAAAAAAAACTTGCCTGGTGCTTTCTTTTGACGTGGTGGTACCTGTCACTCGGTGCTCTGACAGCGGATTTTGCTGTTAGCTCTCAAGGTTAATATTTGTCACTGTCCGAAGTAAGCAAGGCTGTTTCTCATCTGGACAATCGGAAAAGATCTAAAGTGCACATTCAATAACACTGTTTTCTGTCTACATGTTTTACGTACATTCAGCTGGTTGTACCGTGCTTGACATTAATTTCTGAGGTTCGTACTGGAACGACAGTCTGGAAACCAGTGAATTGCATTTAGAAGTGTGTTACGAGGGAGATGATGGATTTTGATTGACAGACCGATGGCTCAACAGTTGTTGTCTTGTTGTGATCGACAAAAGGTCTCTAAAGAACGCCAATTTTCCGTTTGACTGCCACGTTACCACAAATGTGGTCAGCATGTCAGGTTGGATGAATGCCAGACTGGTCGAGTTATTCGTGTCCATCTGGCTAAATAGTAGTACGCTGGGAGTTGGAGGAGGTTTGCGAATTCGCATTCGATATTTAGTCCGTTAAGTGAAGCTTGATCATTTGTCAGTTTTTGTCTGATGTCTGAAAGCCTCTGGTTTTCGGTGGTGAGCATGACGGAAAATTCCTTTTCTAGATGCATAACAACGGATCGGGCTGTTAACACAGCAATCTGTATATTTGAATAGATCACCCTGAATAGTCCTTTCCCATAAGAGAGTTCGTTTCATTACGTTGCTGTCTAGCAGACTGCAGACTCTTTCTGTTTCTTGTAATTATGTCTTAAGTGAATCAGCTTTATAAGCCAGGGGTTAAAAGCCTTAAGTTAAGGGAGACAGGGGTGAACTATGAAGGTCCTTGTGAACGCATTTGTTTGCGTCTTTACAAGTCAGCCGGATTACTGGAACCTCTAAATCCAACTGTTGAAGAAGATTGTAGAAAAACCGTCATCACTAGGATATTGTCCTTCGGATGAGTTAATAAAAGAAGCAGAATACAGAAGTATATCACGTGTTCCGTCACACAAATGAAGCACCACTCGAAACCATATGTGTGACGCGCACTAGTAAACCTACACTTCGCCATTACTCTTCGAAACGGTCAATATGACATTAGTGACGATCAAAGTGTCTATGGAGCGACCCAGTAACAAATCGTATTTTCTTCCTTATCTGCAGTGAAGTGTGGGTGTTGAGAATTCGATAGAGACTAGGAGCGTATCCAAGGTAGTGTATGCGTAGCGCATCCTACAATGGGTGAATCATATCTATCTGAACAAACATTAGGTGATTGTGATCTAACACACCAACTTCAGCGTTGGTGAGATTCATGCTGAGTACCACAATAAGGTAACCACGAAAGCCAAACAATCGCGGTTTGTGGTTTGTCAGGATTTACATTCGGCCGAGAGTTATTCATCACAATCTGTCGTACAGTAATTTGCAAATGATTATGTTTGATCAACTTTGTACTGTTAAAGTCCAAGTAGAACAGAGTTTTATGGGTCCTCGGGATCTGGGCCTACCTGAGGAGGCTCAAGAGGCGCCAAACCCAAAGTGAGTTGTGGAGGCTCTTTCAGTGGTCCTATAAGAGGTGCTGTATTGTGATTTTTGCTAACTCATGACCAAGTCTGTCGAGTGTAGTCTCTTTCTTAAGTGTCAACTTTGAAGTTCCAACACGCAGATTCGCATCCGTTTGCAATCCATGGGACACGAAACGTATCTTAACCACAGGGCTCTTGACAATCAGATATAACTATTCAAGTCACATAACTGTTTCCTGTTATCATATTACTTGTGTTCTGTAAGAACAGTTAAAAAAATGCCTAATCCCATTGATTTGCACCATTAGCGCCTAGGTTGGTATCACTTGTGATTCGAGGGAAAGTCAGTTTCACTGGCTTGAATATCAGGCTCCTAGGGATTGAGGATACTACTTCATACGGAACCGATGAACGTCAAGAAGCTAATTCCAGCCGAAAGCGCTAAGAATCATTCTACAAACTGATGATTGAAAGATGCTATCACTATTAACATACGAGCCAATAATTTCAACAAAATAAAACCACCGTTTCTGTTCGCCAACAACAGAGGGATGAACCAGAATCATTTCATACTTGAGAACTGCTTTTCAAGCCTTGTTTCCCACCTTGTTTTTGCTCATCGCAATGCAGAAAAACCCATAAGATGACGTAAATTTAGCAGACTGTTTTGATTTTTTAATCAAATTCTTATTTAAAAATAAGGTGCTCATGCTTAACGACCGAACACTACCTTACAGCTTTATTCTCCTTGTTGAGATTCATCAGCAATATCTGTCGCACGAACTCCTTGTGTGTTTCCAGTACCCAACCCATCAACAAGAAAATCCGCGCAACAGAAGAACGGTTTTCCGTTCTCAGCAACACTAATGACCCTGGAGGTTCTCTAGAAGCACTTCTTAGCGTCTCATTTAAAGGAGGAAATATGGATTATACTTCAAAATCTTTATCCACTTGGAATCTAACTAGGTTAAGCCATTAGACGGAATCATCTGGCTTGATTCAGCCGGGACAACTGGCTGTATATTAGACGGCAGTTGATGTCTTCGTCAAGTTTGACAAATAGCTTGCAAATAATCCGTCACTGTGCGAAGAGGCGTGTCAATGGGTGGTTTGGTGGGTCAAATTCTCACATTCGACCAATCTGTTTTCTTTATGGACACACCACTTGGGACTTCTAAGTGTACTAGGCATGGAGACTGAAATCAGAGTGCGCAACAGCATTATAACCTGATGTCATCAGTACTGACATTGTTGAGGGTTGCTACTACAAAAAGGGAGAGTGTCTTGAAGTACTAACTGAGATAAAAATCAGCTGTTTTACTGATATATTTAAATCATTCACGTCATCTATAGCGTACAGTTTTGAAAAATCTGCTGACTGAATCAAGAATCATGCGCATCATATTTCAACAAGTAGCAGGACGCATCGGCCTGAAAACGACGGTTTATGAGTTGTTTCCGAAACGAACAAATGGGACGAAATCTTATCCGATTCTTGCAGATAACCATGTGTGTGGTATGGAGTAAATTTACATTAAACTCGTATACACTTAAGGGGAAGTCCATATGAATCAAGGAAAGTAGTTATTGTAGCAAGACGCAGCATTTTCCACAGAGCGTTAATAGTGGGCATAATTCGGTGATGAGGTGGCTGTTCGACTTAGCTTATGATCTTCTGTTTCCTGGTTCAAGGCAACCGATTTTTTGAAGTGTGCAGTTTAAATTGCCGAACCGCGCATTTTGGCTCCAACCTAAATTTCTTTCCTGCCAGTTGTCAAAACTAAGTGCAAATGGCGAATTACCTACAAATAAAGTTCCGCTAAAATGTAAGATTTATGTATGCCCAATAATTGGGTCTTGGAATCACTGAGTTTCCAGGAGGTTTGAGAATAGATTTCCGAAAGAGAATACACTGTAATTCTTGAATATCATACATCATGAAACGTGAGGCAAGGTCTATGCAAGATTTTATGTCGAAGAACATCTTGCGGCACATACCTGCCCCATCAAGATGTTAGTCTAAGGAGTTAAACTGAGTGAGCAAACTGAGTATACAGAAGTAGATTGGTCAGTGAAGTAAGAAACGAAACACAATGGTATTTTGGGAACGAATCTAAAATATTCCGGTGGTTGCAGAGGAAATCACAAAACTGATCTTCTTACGGACCTGGTTCTCATTTTCGGACCCCGCCCAGTAACCAGTGAGCATGTAAACATCAGATAGTTTTGCACTGTGGTTAGGTCGTCTTTTGAGTGTGTGCGCATCATACATATGCTGATGACTGTCAAAACTCGGGCAAAATTTACCGTGGAAATCATGACTTGCGAAGTCTTTCTAAATTGCCTAATTGGTTTTAACAATTCATGTTATCCCTCGGGGCGAACCCTTCAAATTCGGAACTGCTATAATAAATGTTGCTACTTTTCACGCAATGAATGCCGGTCTGCAGAAGACACCAGAAACATCCGTGTATTACGCAAGCAAATTTTATCCCATCGATGTTACCTGAAGTAATTGGTAGATGAGCAAGTTGATACAGCGAATGGTTTCGGTGCACCAACAAAACAATCAATGGTTTCGATCACAGTTTCTCTGATGAACCTTCTGGTGAGCCTAATGAGTGGTGCGTAGGCGGTTAGCACTTGATTGGCTGGCACAGTGTGCTGACGGTTAATTTAATCGAGTACAAACACAGCTTGGCTGGCAAGTGTGCTGACGGTTAATTTAATCGAGTACAAACACAGCCAGCTCTTTGGACCATCCCTTAGTTTGAGTTAGCTATTCACTGAAATTTGAAATGGTTACGGAACAACCTCGAAAAGTGTTGCCGAAACGGGACTGGATTGATGGCCTCTACTCGTGCACGAATGATTGTCGTTCATGTAAGTAATCCAAATAATGTTATGAATGTAAAGATAATTTTTGAAAGATTTACATAAAGAAACTAACAAGAAACTAACTAACACATATGAAGACTCATTTAGCCGTTTAACGTTAAATGTTCCTACAACAGTTACTGATTTTATTGAACGATGTCATCTGTGCTGGCTGTGTAATATACGAGATCTAAAGAGTGAACCTATTAACCTACACACCTCAAAGTCATCTCATGCATATTGAGCATTGGGTCTAATGTCTGAAGATTCATTTATAGAGATGACGAACTGCCCCCAGATCCTGCAGCTACCCAAATGAGCACATCAGTCAGTCGGATTGGGGAATGTTCGAAGCGTGGGCATCTCTTTAGAGGCATAGTCTGTTTGTTCGCTAACCCGGTGATTAAATCAGTGTAGTTGTATTCTATGACATAGCTGGTTCTCGTGCCTTGAAGTACAGTAGACGATCACTTCAGGTAGATCAAAATACCCTTCCAGTCACACAAAACGTGTGGACTACTTGTTGCCCTTGGAAATTTCTACACCATTCAAACTCGCGGGAAAATGCCGTTTTAAATTTCCTAATTATCCAGTGAACACTTCCAAGAGATGACTTCGAGTGCCGTTTGCGCAGTTGAAGTTCTACACTTACCCAACATATTTGTTCCAAGCAGGGAACAGATAAAAAAGATCCTAATTTCTCTCCATCGCATCTTTCACATAACAGTCTCGTAGTAGTAACGTACATTGCTTACTGTTATGCTGCAAGTCAACATTGTTACGAAATCAGTTTCATGAACTCTCCTGTCGGGTTTCTTAAATGTGTCGATCTTCGGACAACGTCACCAATAGTGTAGTACATGCTCACCAGTAACCATAGGGACATGATAGTATTGTAGCCGATACAATCACAGGTTAATCTGATTTGTCCCTATTGTGTCCATGTACTTTAACCGAATGTGGTTCTTGATAAGCTTTGTAAGCCTGCATAGCCCTCGATATGCATTGTTTTTTGGATGCAGGTTATAAGAGCTATTTTTGGTGTCCTGTTTCATTCACACACATGGTTAGCATAGGCTTTATGTTCATGTTCCCTTAAATTTCCTGCTCTTGGTGTTCAGATACCCACGGAAAACTTCGCCATTAATCTCAATCCCACATTGTCCGAAGCTGCAAAAATTCTTGCTGTGTACGATAGACGGGAAAGAACATCGTGCACCAAATGATGGTCTCACAATATCTGTGCGAGGCCAGAATACGGGGATTAAGAATATGCTTGCTTTTTTCCCTAAAAGTAACCTTCACTAACGTCGTGGCAAGCCTCAAATTTCAGGCCTGAGAGTGATGTTCCAAGTGGAAGTTTGGCTAATGCTGAAAGACATTAGTTGTCTCTCCGACTGTTACCAGGCTAGCGAATATGTCCTACATGTGTAGAAGTTCAGTTCCTGTCTTGAACAGGATCTATCAAAACGGATATCACTTCGAATGTCAAGTCAGCTTTTCCTGAAAAGCACTCCCAACACTACTACAAATGAGAAGTACCTAAACAGCATGTCAGCAGAGACGGAATACCAAATTTAATGAAGTCGTGTTCGTTGTTTGCGTTCAAATACGATGAGGTAGCAAGTGGACATGATGAGCTTGTAGCCTACACTTCTCCAAACGTCGGTCCCCAAAACATACCAACCAACCCATTGCTACGCACCACTACTCTCCACAACAACACACTGATAATGTCACCTCGACTGGTGATGAAACGTTTGCAATCAACTTGCCCAGCTCATCGAACAAACCCAACACCATTAATGGATGTGTTCTCAATTGAAGTTGGCCGTAGGTAATCACTTTGGGAAAACGTTTGATGGTTGATCTATCCATTTCTAATCTGTTCATTCAACAAGAGGATGCTAATCTGTGCCGGAATGTTGAAAGCGCACAATTAGGCTAACTTTGATGAACGAGTGAACACTTGTATTCGGCTACTGGCATTGTTGGTACTGCTCCTGAGGAGATTCTGTATTCGCGTCCCTCTTAGTGAACCCTCGTTCTGCAAATATTGGATTGCCTTACGTGCATGTTAAGCAAAATGCTGACAATCATCCAGTATCTGCTCCGCGCTTGATGCTGAAAGCGCCATTTTGGCAGCTATTGTTGCTGTGAATAGACGGTCTTTGGAGCGACCTGTTGTGGGTCAGAAAAGGAGAAGTATCTAAGAGTCTGCATGTAAAGTCGTTGCGGTATTCCTCAACAGTCTTTCCTCTTCTAAGTAAGCTAACTCGCTTGATAATAGTAAACTCGGAAATTTATGTATCCGAGTTTGAAAAATCAGGCATAATCCAGTTCCCGGACACTGCGATGGGGACATTAGGTGCTTGGTTGCATCCCTCTAGAGGTTCAGCGCAATCGCCATACATCCCTTGCTGTGAGTGCAGCATTGGGGGTGTCCCATAGTATAGCACCCCGACGAGGTAGATGAAATAAACTGCTCGTTTTGTGTTGCCTGTTGTTTGATGTGGCTAAGTATATTGGAATCGTGATGACTAATCCGTCGCCGCACGATGTTCACAACCCAGCGCCAAATACGATGCAGTATTTCACTTTTGTCATGCCTGTTTGTCGAAATCTGATTTGAAAAGAACCCAAGATGCAATCTTGTGAGGAACATTTAGTTATAGTATCCTACCGCTACAACAGAATTCTGCTTAAATTGATCACATAGCAACAGGGCGCAAAACATAACCTCTGGGTTGGCGGCTTACACGTAATCGGTTGAGCTGGCTGTTACTCAAAGCAGTCTGAGTGTAGTTTTTGTTATGAGATTAGTTCCATAATAAGACTTTTTCTGAATATCAGCTTGACTTAAATCTACATTTTATAATGAAGCACGGTCCATCCAGCCCGTGACGTGGTTATCATCAGAAGGCGTGAACAATCCTAGAACATTGCGACAAAAAGAATAAGCGAGTAATGTATACTTGTAATGCACTACTCATAAGGTTGCTGAAAATCCATCGACAGCCTGCGAGCGGTTTTGCCCTTCTTGGGGCTCATCAGGTAGGCGCAGTCCCCGGGTTTCCAACCTTATGTTCTACTTGAAACCAAATTGCACGAAATGAGCGAATATACACTCATCTGCAAACTAATTTGATTCTTTCGAGAGACTCACCTGGAACCCAGCTGAATCTCTCGTTTATGATGTTCTCAGGCAACTGAATGTGCTGCACCAGGCCGCCTTATGCTTCAGTCGCTACGATATTTGAAATATCGCAATACATGTATATCTTTGTAATGTACTACTCATAAGGTTGCTGAAACTCCATCGACAGCCCACGACCGGTTTCGCCCTTCTTGGGGCTCCTAGAACATTGCGGCAGAAAGAATAAGCGGGTAATGTTAATCACATTCCAACACCCTTGGGACTCCTAGCTCCTATTTCCCGGATATCCGGTAAGTACTTTTCGGGAGACTTGACGGACAGTAAAGTCGTGAGGACTAATTTGCCTTCATCTGCGTTTGTTGAGATACGGGTTGCTGTGATCCATTTGTGGTTATGGGTCTGTTGATCCATGCAACAGAGCCGATAGTGTGGATGAATTCGCCGTACTTAGAAGCCCGAAGTTATGTTCCCTCCAAAAATCTCTTCCTTTCCTGTTTTCCTCACTAACTTTTGTGGCATAGTAACCTGGCATACACTAATAAATCCTCATGTTCCCATTTTACATAATTATTGCAGGTGTGAGTTCACTGAGGGGTCTTTTAACTCGTTTGCTCTATTTCCCGCGGCATGCGCTGCTTTTGCATTCAAAGCCTACCTAGATGAGCTCATCCATTGGTAGATTTGGAGTAATCCGAATGCGTTTATCGGTATCATTTATGGCAGGACAATTTATGAGAGGGACAACGTGATTTATTTTCCCTTGTGATGAGGAAACCAAGACTAAAATTTTCCTCAACAATCACAGTGGCATATAAATCAAATTTCCTATACTTATGAGTTCAAAACCTAGGCGATAAAAGAACACGAACATAGTTTTGGGTCGCACATTACTGCTTGCGCTCAGACAAAGGTGATTCCATCCGAGCTTTTCTCGTTATCCTTTTAGGTTGGTGCGTTCTGTGTTGCTATCCATGTTACATGTGTTCAATGTACCGTCGCTACGGCGAGTGTTGCGGAACACCAATGGGCATCGTCTTCCCCGGCCTAGTGTTACGTTCTTATCACAGAGCAAAACACAATATCCAAGTGAGTGCACACTGTTGATCATAACACACAAACAAATCAGGGGAATTAACTGGTGAGAGGTAGTCTGAAGAGGTGTTTCGCATGGTGTGATTCCAGGTTGAATAAATGCAAAGCCCTAGAATAAACACGGATTCACTCCAATCTATACAGGTTTTTTTACTGTGGTCATATGCTCAAAACATGTTTGGTCCGACCATCTGAATTAAACAAAGTGTATACCTGAAACTAGACCCATATAAGCAGACATTGTAAACTCTGCAAAAAACAAAAGTAGTGTATGAATCCCTACTTGTTATGGTCTACAGAGGGACCACTTATTCCGGTAGGTTATTATTAGTTCTATTCTCGAACCCTTCCCGAACGATAACTGGAACCTCGTACGACACGGTCTATAATAGGATTTGTGGAAATCCGTTGATACGAAATTCTTGTCATCATATTCCAGAAATGATACCCATGTTATTTGATACTTGAACAGTAAAATATGCCTTTGCGAATTGGGTTAGTTTCACCAGAATAAGGAAATGAATTCCGCTTGGAGTTTTCGTTGATGATAGTTTTCAAATGTTCTTAGCGTACCAAATGGCCATCTTGACAGGACAGATCTCATAATTTGGAAGTATACAATTTATAGTTTACAGATTTAGATTTTATCGAAGTTGCGGAGCCTTCTCTCATCGATGACAGTTTTCAATAAATATAATTACACTAAGATTTGTAAAGTTGGTTAGTGGATATCATAAACTGGAGTTTCAGTTAAGACTCAGTTTTGTTTCCTGACTTCACTAATACAGCCATTCTTTCGTGATATTTCTACTTGGTTCTTATTGATGGAGGAGCAATGGACCCTAATTTTGTTCCTATTTGATCTCACTAGCATTGCGTATCCATGAACTCCGGAGATTTGAGGCGAGAGAAAAGTTGTTACCACCACTAAACTAGCGGAGGACTCGCAATGAAACAGGCGATGTTGACCCGATGCATTGCTTGCTGGCCTGCAGCTTGACTTCCTGCAACCGGGCGGTACAGAAAAAGTGTCTGGATTAATTGTGTACCGCTTAAATACGCAACAATCTTGATGAAAGCTAGTGGTTCCACCTTAGTGTGACGTTATAATTCGCAACAAACTGGAGAAGTAGCAGACTCGGTTTTTCTCTCAATGAAGGTCACCTTTTCTAGTGGAATAAGGTTGATTAATGCGGGCTTGTTTCCACAGATGGAATATCAGATGCCGATCGCACCAGAGGTATCACACTTGAACGTGCTCACTGTTCGAGCAGTGGGAGTTGGTTATCTGCACGACCATCCGGATGACTGCACGCTTGTGTCGATCGTTTGACAGACCTAGCAATCAGGTAAGCTCAGAATGTATGCTCGACGAGGACGTCCATGGATCGCCATCCATTTGTTAGACTAAATGACCACATAAGATAAACTGCAAGTACGTGGAAACTGGCGTGTATGTTAATACATTACCGTGCACATCAGGTGTTCGGAACTCAACTTTAAGCACAGGGATGGGAACACAAATTTCGAACAGGGAAATTGAACCTTATTTCTTTCATCCCTTTTGCTTCGACCCAAAAAAGTAGTAGAATATGAAGGCGTTCAAGCAATTAGTGGGCGTAAAATTCCCTGAAATATAATCTTCTATGTTTATACAAAATCAATAGTGCGGCATCACCCCTTCACCATTTTTTTCGCCGGATCATCTCCTTCAAGACAGCCATGCAAAATCAAGAGTCAAGGAAAGACGTTAAGGACTTTGTGACATTGGTAGGCAACCCAAAGTTCGGACACGTGGTAATCTCCTAACGACAAACTAATTCGCCTGTCCAAGACTATTAATGCGTTCTATTTTAAGCTTACCGAAATCTCACTTTACCTTTAACCCACAGGGCACCCTGTGCGGCGACTGTGCTGTCGATTACTGCTGCACCCTTTGCGCCGCTTGTCAGTTGGATCGTGACATGAAGTATGTGGAATCAACGACAGGGATTTTGAACACGTAGTGATGCGTTCTGGAAAGTCGAATGAGGTCACTAACATTGCTGCAGTTGACTTTCCACAAAAATAATTTGTTTTGTACATATATTTGTCTGCCGAACATCTGTTGTATGCAAAACTAACACCTGATAATGTCCTAACTTTTGACGCATAAATATAATGCACCGACTATCAGTTTTCTGCTTCAGCCTAGGTAAATTCCTCAGCCTGACCTGTTTGAAAACGGGTTTGACGACAAAATCTCGATTACTAGCAACATTCTTCATGAATTGATGACAAACACCCGTCCATACTGCTCGGGTTATCGCAGATACAATACTCCCTCTATGTAAAGACAACGACTAGTGAGGACTATCCAAGAAGACCATGAGGCGTGAGTTTCTCCGTTACCTTTCCCTCACGGTGTACAACCGATCCTAGAAGGAAACAGGATTAGCTTACTTCCTCAGAAGGCTTCTTCTGTTTCGATGTTTCAGGTCAATTAGTGAATAGCAAATAATGTGCTGGCTAAAAGCTTGTATTGTGCTCAAATTCTTTGGATTGCACACTCAGATAAGTACCACTGACGCTCTCCTGAAACGATTCATTTATCAAAATCTTACTATATTGCAATGACTATTTTGTACACTCACATAATGGGAGTTAATTTCCTCTTAATTGCTAATGGGTTGGTTAAATTATATCATTATTATGTGTTTACACAGAAGATTCATTAGCACACATCTCGCCTGTGTCTAACAACTGCTACGCCCATTTTTGACGTCTTTCAAATTTTTCATGTGCGTAGCAAACGACAGGCCAGATATCATGATAAACCCTTATGAATCTAGACTGAAATCACAACCAGCTCATTCGACATACTTGCCAGCTGAGATTCCAGCTTGCATCTACTACTCTCAGTCTGTTCTTTAACCCAGATCCTCAGTACTACCTAGAATAATTTCCTCTGTACCGGGATGACGTCCATCCGGTTTGTTCACTATCCGCTATATAATGAGAAAATATTTACATCGCAGTTCCCACAAAGTAGAATATAGACCAACAGTAACTCTTATTTCAACCTACTACTTGGATTCGCAACTTCATGGGCTTTTGGAATGTACAGTTACTACATAAACTACAGCTCAATGCGTTGTAAATTTCAGCATCAGGCTTTCTTTGGATGTTAACTTTCCTTACTCGTTGTGTCTGGATAGCACACCACTCTTCACTTATTACATTTCTGGCGTCCACCAATCTATCTTATTTTTACCTGTCCATCTCATCATTTTCTCTTCTAATTTTTTAAGTTCACAGATAAGTATGTTTCCCTTTGTATGTAACATACGGCAGAAAATGATTGCTTTTCTATAAAACACTTCCAAGCCTTCCTCTGTAAGTGACAATGCGATTGCAGCTCAAAACATAGGGAGCTTAACCAAACTCTATGTATTTTGACCCTCGAGGTTTCTGACGTTCTATCCAATGCATAGCTATAAAGCAGCTTTGTGACAATTATATAGGACTTGAACTTCATTCAAGGTGAGATTGGCAATATGATCTAAGAATGGTTTATAGATTTCAGAGAGCTTTTTGTCTTGGACTGGAAATGCCATTTGACATAGACAGCCTTGGTTTCCATTGGTGGGAACCCTGATGAAAGTTACCCCAGTAATTCAACAGTATGCACTCTTGCATTTCTCAGCTTTTCAGTTTTACAGCCGTCTTGTAGTAAACTGAATTCATGGAACAAAGCTCAGCACATAGAAACATCTTGTCATTTGCATATTAGGATCATTTCATAATCCACAGTGGAACTTTGTATCCCTTGTTTATCTAAGATGTGTTCTTTCTTTGGGATACGGTTATTACGGTCGGTAGAATAAATTACTCCGGGAAGTACAGTATGGACCATTGCTGTGGATATAGCAATTGTTGGATGTGGATTCCATTGTAAATGCACTGTTGCGCACTTGTGAGAAATTTTGATCCGTGGGCAAACCTGATAGTAAACAAGTCCGTTTTGAGTGTTTTGTTTCGCAATCCTGTCTTATCACCGGGAATTACCCGCGGTTTAAAAACCTCCGTTCGTCCTCAAGATATTTTTCGTTTTGCATGGAGACTCTTGAGCATATCATAAACTCAAGTTTACCTACAGTCATCGATCGACTCACAAAGACCTCGGTTGCATCCGAATATAGACCAGGTGCCTGGCAAATGTATCAATTGTCACTCGTCACCAGGCGAGTCCAACTGATCAAAGTTCTGTTCAGTGTAGATATCGAAGAACATTATGTCGATAATCATGTCCTGGAAATCTGCAAATCTTAGCTTGAGTTCACACCGGCTCTAGAGCAGTCTGCAGTGACGTAGGTTAACCCGGCTAGAACTTCAAAGTAGCGGTCGAAATATGATGTTACTTGACTCATAGTATCAACAGATGAGGTACTTCAGAAGAGTACAAATTCGAATAGCGACTATTAAAAACTCGTGTGCTCAGTTTACTCTTAGTAGTACCATACAAACAATAACCATATTATCTATCCCACAAACCAAAGCTACTTCCGAGTTCTAGTCAGCATAGTAAAATTGAGTGAGGACTTAATTTTTTGTCCATGACAATAGCTTTGTTTAGAACGACGAATGGCTTTTAAAACAACTAGGTAGGCTTCAAAATCTTACATGTTTGGGTATTTTGTCAAATTAATTTTCGGTTTACTTGGGTTCTCCCCGGAAATTAGCCGTGCGTACAGTATGCTGTTCACCAAAGAAATAATAAGGGAAATTAAATGAATTTCTCACTAGAATTTCCCCCCTGTCCTCAGCATCAGTTAACTGTTTTTTAAGGACGCTGTACCATATGAGTAGATATTGTACGAGGTAAGTTTATTGCTACCACCATGTTTCCTAGGGTGCACGTTTTCGGTTGCATTCGACTGCCATTCATGTGTAGCTAAACAGTGTCTTCTCTAGCGACTGATCGTCTCAAACGTAGCCAATCGTCCAATGCAATTAGAGCCCAACAGCTTGTTGTGAATACGTGAGGCTGTTCGTCAGTATCCTGAGTGGCCATTTTGTCAAATGTAGCTCTCACGCCAATGTACCTGATCCGTTATCTCTCATCTGCATCACCTATCTGTCAATGTACACTCAGATGACCAGGATGGGTTCGTCAGATTTTACCAACGGAATGAAAATTCTGTTCTTGTATAGGCAGGGAAACGTTCATTGAACAGCACACCTAAAACGTCGATTGGCTCTTACTGAAATGCTATCGCTTTTGGATAAATGTCGCATGGATTTTCTTTTAGGTATTGAGGATACTCACAATTTTGTAGTGGATATAAACGAGGACTTCTTCACACGGATGGCAGGATGTTTATTTTTCTTTAGGCAGATTAGACTTCCAATGTACGATTAGAATTGGTTTGAGCTGCAGTTATAAAAAGGATTCGTACGAGATGTCGCACTTTAGGCTTATGACAAAAGTCCCCAGTAAACAGTACTCATTGTTTCTGACAAAGCAGCACGTCGGAGAAATAGTTTCGGCCCTCTGATTCTTAATCGTAAGTGAGCAGCACATTAAATTTCCCGAGAGCATTTTGTGTTTGTCTCGCATCTTTACAGATGGTGAATGTGTCATCCGCTTAGCAGGTGTAGCAATTTCTAACGTCTAAACCGTCCCGTGCTCGATCCCTGAAATGACTTGCATTTGTCATTAGTGATAGGGCACAACTGCGGCTAGTGGATTACGCACAAACGTGATATCCTTTTACAAGAAATACAGAGGCATTTCAAACTAACCAAATGGTCAGCAGTCTAGCGAAGAGGCCAAAGGGTCAAGTGGCTTACACTAGAAGAGCCTGATGTTAACAGGTGTTTGCCTGGGATACCAGTTCCATGACACCCTATTGGATGGTTTTGCCTTCGCTAATGATTGGGTGGCGTACGCCGAAAGTCAGGCTCGCCTTAAAGAAAAGATTGAAGGTGTTGCGGTTGTGTTTGGGAGAGCTGGTTAAAGAAAGGAGGCTTTCTCTGCGAAATTATTTATCTGAAAACGCTAACTGAACAGTTATAGATTATTGGACAGGGAATGAAAATTCACATATGCATCTTCTTCACAAAAACTGAATACCCATCTTCTCCTTGAACGTGTTTACCTAAACTTTCCTGGATATTCACTGACTGTTGCTCAAATGCAAGCAAATGCGACTCCACAAATTCCGTAATTGATCTCACTTTTCAAGAGACGAAGTGGATTTACGAGAAAGCATACTATTCGCATGCCTCCATCAGTAGTATCAACCATCACACTGGTATGAATTAAACGCCCAAAAGACGAAACCGATGGTGATCTGTGGGAACAGGAAACATCGGGCGACAGCAGTCTCTATGGAACCATTTTGCTCCGTCGAGGAACTCATCACTCCTCTGAGTCAGACAGACACCGTGACATATTTGACCATCCCCTTAATTTTCAGGGGAAAGGGGTATTCAACCACCGATAGCACCTTCTCAAGCCTCAACGTGTCCTGTTGAAGCCACAGCAAAAAAGAGAGATCACGAGGATCTACCTGATACCAAGACTAACATACTAGCTTGTGCTCGGCCAAGTTCACCGAAACGCGCTCTAAGGTTGGACAACTACATCAGACAATCTATTCGTGGCTGACTACGTCTACCGAAGGACATCCCGATCAGCTACATCCACGCCGGTAAGTAACATGAGGGACTTGGTATCCCAAGCCTGAGTGCACCAGTCCCGATGTAGCGGACCGCGTGTATGGAAAAGCTCTTTTCTACCCAGTGCCGAGTGCTACGCAATATGGTCAACGATTCCGCATTCAGCCAGAGTGTTCGGGATCTCAACCTGGTGGCTGCACAGCAACGTTGACAGTCGTGGTTTACGAGAGTTGGTTGCTTTGCCTCTTTGTAATCCATGGGCTGTATTTCGAGAACGTGTGTTTCCTTGGATATTTATCTACGGCATCCACCTGCGATGCAACCTGCTCAAGACGAGAGCCGGAAGCGCTCCGCATGGTCATGATGTCCAGACGATCTTCAGTTGTGAAAACTGGTAAAACGGAGATTTCGGTGCACACTTTGCAGTCCTACTGGATCACGCTAGATGTGCCCGCCAAAACGTCTCCGTCGACTGGGATACGCCTTTTTCAAGGAGTTGAGAGCAATGACTTC